TTAAACTTTTTGACAATTGGCATTTGGCTTTTAATAATATTATTCCTCAAGCCTTAGATCATTCAACAATTTCATTCTGGGTGCATCCGACAATTTTTTTTATTTGTTTATTTAGAAATATAGTAATCTGTCGCGTGGACAATAATTATAGAGATATATGAACAAATTCACATTATCTATACAGAAAATATAAAATTAACAAAAATAAAATAATAATAAAAAACTATGTACAATTAAAAATAAAATAAGATATAAGTAAAGATAAGTAAATTAAAAACATAAAAACACAGTCATACCTATATGCAATATATACAATCAGGCAGGGAACCCTTAGACATTCTTCTCCCTCCAACTATAGAAGAAAAAGCAAGACTCCAAGAGATCCCTGCGCTACTCTCTCAACCGCATCACTGGTGCTAAAGCCAGTGGAGTTTGAGCGAGAGCGCTTTATCCTCATCCACTCATGTATTGAGTGAAGAATTTGGCCATTGCCAGAACTCCAAGATATATACTACAAAGGATCTCTGGGTCACTGCCGCTTTAACCTTCGAGGAGGATTGTAGGGATGAGTGGAAGTAGATGGGGATTCCGTTAGGCGATTTGGATGATTTATAAGGTTCTGATGGAATTTGGAAAAAATTTCAGGGATAAGGTCGAGGACAAATGGGATATTAAGGTTATGAGGTAAGTTTTTGTTGGTTACATAGAACGGAACATCGACTATTCTTCGGAGAACTTTGGACTGAAAGGCTTGAATGCGTTTGATGTTAGAAAATTTTGCTGTGCCCCAAACTTCAAGTCCGTAGGTCCAAATAGGTTTCAGTATTCTCTTGTAGATCAATAATTTGTTGTCAATTGAAAGTTGAGATTTTCTAGTCAGTATTCTGTATAATTGGCCGTATCGTCGGTTAAGTTCTTGTCTTTTAAGTCTAGAATGTGGGTTCCATGTTAGTTTTCGGTCTAAGAGAAAGCCAAGATACCGGACTGTGTCTGTAAAAGGAAGCTGGGTGGAATTGAAGTGGACTGATGGACAGGATCTGCGCCGAAGTGTGAGGGTAATGTGTTTGGATTTGGATTCGTTTACTTTGATGCGCCATTTATTGCACCAGTGCTCAATAAGAGAGAGGTGCCTTTTCAGATTTAAAGATGCTTTTTCGGGATCTGAATTGGATGATAGGATGGCGGTGTCATCAGTAAATGTTTCCAGGAAGGTATCGGGATGGACTGGGATATCAGCGGTAAAAAGCATATAAAGGACGGGGCTACCTTGAGGAACACCGGCTTCAACTGGGTAGGAATTGGAAAATTCAGTACCACAACGAACTCGAAAGGTTCGATCAGAGAGGTAGGAGAGGAGGATTAGGTACAAGGACTGAGGTAGATGGGTTTTCAGCTTGAAAAGAAGCCCGGCATGCCATACCCGGTCAAAAGCGCCGACAAATTAGAGAAAGAAAATAGTTGTTCAACTGGTGGAGTGTTATATTTTATAAAAATAATTTATATCACATGGTAGCCATCCAGGCTTTGTAAATATTGACTTCTATCTTGTAAACATTTTATGGCTTCAATTTAAACCTTTTCAATTTAATATTAGAATTACTATCAAATGACACTAATAAAACTCTCTAAGCCATAGATTAAAAAAAAAAATTATATCAGCTAATAAAAAAATATTTATAAGATAAAACCGCTCTCTGAACTCAAATACCAATCACAATAGTTAACTGATTGTAAATAAACAGGATATGATCGACTCAATCCTCAAACCCTACATCAACTTCCTTTCGCAGCTATAATATTTCTCATGTATATTTGCAATTTCATCCTTACAACGACCCACTTTCCCGTCATATGGAAACTCTCTAATCAGATTCTATTTCAAAAACGATATAAGCCTTCCTAAAACTGTTTCCTATTGACCGATTAGCCTACTTCTGATCCAAAAAGAATAAATAAAATATTTTCTTAAAACATATCCTATCCATTGAATAAGTACAAAGTTTTTCCGATCGCCAATTTGTATTCCATTGTAGGCGTTTAAAAGTCTAACTAGACTTAAAAGACAATGCATTAATAGAAAAATTGGCCAACTATATCACATAGCTTTCATATCTCAATCAGCACCATCAAAATTATCCAATCCTTTGAAACAATCACTTTTTATACAAAAAATGTTTCCAATAACGGCTTGTTATAACGAGCGTGTTAAAGAGTTGCCCGTATCTACATTCTCGAGTCTATTCGACGGATCAAATCTGGCCTGAGCGAGTTGATATTCTTTTCGTGGTGGACCCAGGGAATAATCTCGACCTTCGGATCCGTTTAAGTTTGGTTATACCTCTAAAGGCTCATACACACATATCGCGGTACGATGTTACGTTACAATACCGCTCGAAACTCACAACAATTCCTGATCCGGGGCAGACACATACAGGGCATTACTTTGAAAGCGATAAAATTGTCCCATAGCTCTGCCTGGCCTAGTCAACTAGAGTTCCTGCTTCCCGCAAATTGTATATTACCAATTTTTATCTAATTCATTTCTTTCTATAAGAAATGAGTAGTTCTGACGAGGAGGCACTTTTCATTATTTTAGTTCTTCAGAATACAAATAAAAATAGAAAATGGGTTCATGAAATCAAAAAGCAGAGATACTGATAGGTAGAATACCATCGTCTCTGCCGTCTGCTCCAATTCGCAATTAATCTGTTGACCCACGCGGTAATCTCGACCTTCCGCTCCGTATAGCATAGGTTTGGTTATACCCCTAAAACATCTACCCTCACTAACGGATCCACGATTTAATTTTGGGGGCTTCAGTTCGAAAGTTTTTTTTGTTTTTTAATGTATATATATATATATATATATATATATATATATATATATATATATATATATATAACAATTATTACTTTGAAAGAAGAACAAAGAAACTAACTACCTTTATGTGATTCTTGAAGTCCTATTGAATGTTATTACACGAACAATAATACTTTTATAGATAATATTTTTTTTCCTAAAACATGGTTGTATTTTTCTATTTTAGAGGCCTTTTGCTTTTTGCCAATTCAGGCCGAAAACTCCTCTCTCCTCCCCGCAGATCGTCCTGTGTCCTCCCTCCCCCTCAGTATGCCAGAAATGGCGAAGTAAGGGTAGGCGAAAAAACAAAAAAAATTTCGAAAACATAACGACCATTCGTATCCGTGATGCCCTCGACCTTTTACTGACCAAATTTTCAAAATTTCTCATGAATCTTTGGAATAACCGCTTTCCTCAAGTTAAATCCTTATCTAGCTTTACTCATCCCTATCATCCACCTATAAGGTAGTGACAGTTGTGGCCATCTGTTTTACAATAAAACAAGTCAAAGATTTTGATTATTATTTTCTATAAATGTGTATAATCATATAATCACATTTAGTTATTGCCAAAGCTTGAAAGACAAGTCAATAAACAAATCGTAGTAATAAAAACAAAATAGACAAAACATGGGAGAATAAACACGAACGTTAAAATTGCGCTCCGTTTACTTTGGAAAATGATTTAGTCTAAATATTATTAAATATATAGTGAATTTGTTTAAAAATGATGATTAATTAAAATAATAACAAATTTGACATCTTAGATTAAAAATAAAAAATAATTTAAATAAATTTGTGAATAAAAGTCGGAATTGTGAACAATCCGGTCGGGACAGAAACTTTCTTCTTATCTTATCTTACATCATATAATCTCCCTTGTTTTCTCGTGTAAGCTGTTGTTATCTTTCTGTTACATGTTAGTTATTGCATTGTTTATTTTTTGTCATCTGTTGAAATGGATATTATTACACCACGGGAATTGCCGTCTTCAGAAGAAGAAGCTATAAATTTTTTTTTTTTTCAAAATTTCGGTATAATTCCAAAGGTGAAATTCTGTGAAGAAAGTCATGAAATGGAGTTTGAGAGGAAGACCAAATGGAGATGTTTTCGTAGCAGTTGTAACAAAAACGTATCTATAAGAAAAGGTACGTGGTTAAACGGGTCAAAGATTACCTTTTCAACGGTTTAAAAATTGATTTAGGTGTCGTCTCATAATTTAACAACAATGCAGTGGGGCAAAGAGCAAATGTAACCATCGAACAAAAGTGTAATAATGTCGAACAAATTTTAAGAGATGTTTGTGCCCATAACATGCTATACAGGTCAACTAAAAAGATTGGAGGGCCTGGCAAAGTCGTTGGAGTAGACAAGAGTCTTTTTTTCTAAACTAAAAAATCACGTAGGGAGAGTACTCCCTGAACAATGGATGTTTGCCGAGAAACAGACGAGTGTTTCATCGTAAAAATAAAGGATAGAAAGACAACAACTTTATCAGAATGTATTAATAATATGTTGTAAAATAAATGTGTTTTGTTATTATTACATTTGTTTTTGTATATTTCAATTGTCATAAATATGGCATTTGTTTATGTATATTTCAATTTCCATAAATTTGAAAACGAAGATAGAGATCATTAGTGCATTATCAGTGTTCAGGTTATAAACATTGGCAGATAGCAGTCCATCCCGACCAAATTGTTCATAATAGTGTTGCCCAAATTTGAGACCGAGACGAGTCTTGGTATTGCTCAAGTGTCTCGCAACAGTCTTGCAGTCACTTAGTCACTTATTAGTTTAGTACTGTAGAGATATTACTGTGTTTTCTTAGATAGGAGAAACCTAACTAAGCCCGAATGAAAAATTAGAGGAATTAAATGCAAAAGTACATAGGTTATACCAATTATTAACACATAGTAACTAAGATTGTCAAGTATTAGTTACTATTTTACCTTAATTTTTATTTTAAAAAATCGATTTTTTTTACCAGTCCTGGTTTTGGTTTGCAACAGTTAGGCAGCCATGGTCCTGGTCTTGCAAAGTGGAATTTTGGGCAACACTAGTTCACAAGTACACGAAGGTCATTTGAAGTTTAGAATAAATGCAAGAAATTAAATAAAAAATAAATGTGTTTGTTTTAGAGCTTAATTTCTCTTTAGTATATTTATATGGCATTTATAATAATGGACCAATAAGAAGAGATGGGCGTTGCTTCTGATGTTACGTCATACTGCTAGTTCATTGGAAGGTGTAAACACAACAGTTTTTACTTAGTTTTCGGTTAGTACTTTTCTATATTGTTGGTTAAATATTTTTCTTTCTGCTGGTTCACCACTTTCTGTTTTTTTTTTTTTGTTTCTGAATAGTATTAAAATCTCATAAGTGAACGTAAAAATGAGTGAAGAAGCCTCTTCATCTGGAATGGAGAAATCTAATTTGCAAGATACCAATGAAAGTTGTGACGAAGAATTGACTGAAGAAGAGGAACTGGACTTGAATAATATGGACAGTTATTTTGATGCAGAAATTGGGGATTTGGTAAAATCCCAGTTTTGCATTCTAAAAAAACTCGGCCAGGGCCAATTTTCGAATGTTTGGTTGTGTCGGGATATTTTAAAATCTGAATACATTGCAATGAAAGTTATCAGAAGTAAAACATTCTACAGGGAATGTGGGCATCATGAAATAGATATGTTTAAAAAGATTCCTTCTACTGATCCTTCAGATCAAAGATGTGAAAGATTAATGAAACTTTCAGAAAACTTTATAGTACCAAGCAAAGTTGAAGGCGTTCACGTATGCATGGTTTTCCAAACAATTGGTTATGATTTACGCTCATTCATCCAAGAAAGATATTCCGAAGGAGCTCCACTATTTAAAGTCAAGAGCATAATTCGACAAATTCTGGAAGGGGTTGATTATTTGCACTCAAAATGTGGAATTATACATACTGATCTCAAACCAGAAAATATATTAATTTGTCTTGGTGATGATGATATTAGAATGATAGTGGATTTCGCCAATATGCAAGAAATAAGGCCTGAAAGTGGAGAGGATCAAATTAATAAAAATGCTGAGAGTTCTTTTGGTAAAATTCAAGAAACTGGCAATGAAAATGCATCTGGGTCTGGTGCTGTTTCTGGGGATATCCAAACAAAAAAATTCAAATCACGTTCACCTGTAGATTGTACTCCTAGACTAAATATATTTTCAAGAGGAGACATAAAGATCAAAATTACTGATTTTGGTACTAGTTGTACAAGGTCAGATATACTTTCATCTCCAATTCCAACTAGCCCTTATACATCACTAGAAATTTTAATAGCTGCAGACTATGGGCCTCCTGCTGATATATGGAGCATAGCTTGTATAGCATATGAGCTAGCTACTGGAGATGTTTTATTTTATCCACCTTCTTTCGACGGTGTTTCAAAACATGAAATTCATATTGGTCTCATGATACAACTACTTGGAAATATACCCAGAACAATTCAAGATGCAGGATTGCTGTCACCTAAATATTTATCAGAATCAGGAGACTTAATAAATGTTGATACATCAGAGCGATGCTCCTTAGATCAAAGACTCGCCCTACTAAAAAAATGGAATATTATGCTAGCATTTCCGTTTGCAGATTTTTTGTTAAGTATGCTGAAGTATGATCCTACGAGAAGGCCTACTGCTTCTGAATGCCTTCAAGATCCTTGGTTAAAATTATAATTGTTATAACAATGGTTCTATAATTTGCAACTTATGAATTGCAATATATAATTATTATTATTAATTTGGCCTCTTCTACTGTGAAAGGTTCCTGGTTGTAGAGCCTGATCATAGAGTCTCGATCCTGTACAAGTTTATTGCGCCTGGTACATATATATATAATATAATTTGATGGATTTATGATTTTTTTGTAACAACATTTCTGTGAAATTTTTATCATTTACTTTGAACTTTAAGTTTTCAGTAAAGAAATTAGCTCAAATTTTCACTTTAGCAATAATTTTCATATGAAAATACAAAACTTATTGATACTTAGTTATGTCATAAAGATGAAAACATTTATTGTTTTGTACTTATAGTTCAAAATTTATAAATATATACTCATATAGATTTTAAATAAATCATTTACAAGATTTTCAGTGTAATATGTAGTTAAAATTGTATTTAGCTCATGTAATGTGTTTCTAATAATATTACAGATAATTGTTTTAATAGTGCAAATTTAATTTAAATGATTATTTGTAATAAACAATAATTTGGAGTAACAAGCAATACCACTGAAGTAAATAAACGTTACAATTTCATATGATGAATTATTCTATAATAACTGCTTTGTCCATATATTTAGTACCTCTTTGAAGATTTATTTTAATATATAATTAACTACCTTATAGTATACAGTTGATGTTCAACACCTACAAGTTATAAGTTTATCATTTACAAAACTTTTATTGAAGATAAGTTGTTTGGGGTGTTTAGTAAAAATAAACAAATTTATTTATTTTAATTTTATATTTTGATTGAACACCCCAACCAACTTTGCTTTAATTATTTACGGCTGTCAATCATCTATCCACTATCAAGAAGACTTTTATGCTCATTTAGGTCTAACTAGTAGCAAGCCATCCACAAGATCAGAAATAAGAATAATTAATTTCAGGAGCTACTAAGTTTTATAATAGTAATTGATTACTAGTTCCTTCAATGTTAGTTTACTTTTTTAAAAACTTATTTACAAGTAGGTGTTTATAATAAGTATTTAAATGCTAAAGAGTGTTAAGAATGGCAAACTTTTCTGTTTGGATATTTAATTATGAAATTCAAGCATATATTTGTGTGTGTTTTTTTTTATAACTATTCATTTTTCAAGTTAATTAATATCTTGTTAGCCCTCTTTAATATGTCTACTATCCATTCTTTAAAAATCAATGGAAATGAAAATCTTGATTTGTAGAGATGTTAATGGCATAATTTATTTTTTCTCATTTGATTAACTATGAGTGCTTCTTATAAGAAAATAATACTATATTGAAAATTATTAAGACTATGAAAATAAATAGTCATTAGTATAAATGAATCTGAGAAAAATAGAAATAGCACTCGAGTGCTTAACGATGTGGGAGTAAGACAAATGCACTAGATACATTTTTTTATGGATTCCAAAAAACAATGTTGATTACTATATCAGTTTTACTTTTTTAAACTTGAAAAATAACAAGATAATGTGCCTGTTCCTTATAACTAATCAGATTTTAATTTTTTTATAGAACTATCCATACTAATTTTTTACTTGTTAACATAACCATGGAATATATCATCTTTTTAAACAATGTAATCAAATTTGTTAACTACTTCAACCTTTGTATGTGTATCATTCATTCAATGTTTTATTTTCTGCCAAGTACTAGAGCTAGCTATATGCTTGTTGAAAAGGTCAATGATTGTCCTTCAAAGAACACAATGCTGGTAAAAATTATAGCAATTGATTTTACTGGTAAATTGTTGATAAATTTGAAAAATTAGGATTTCGAATGTCAATATGTGTATTCCTCTTACTTTATTATCATTGATCAATAGTTCTGGATTTATATGATTTCAAGAAAATAATGTGTAAAGTCACTCTTGAAAGTTTGTTTTATTTAATTCCTTTACCTGCTTCTGTTTTTATTATTATCAGTTGTGATAGCCTTTAGTCATTTATTTACTAATTAATTTTACTATAACTGTCAAATATTTTGTTGCATTTCCTAAGTTTGAGCCTTTAAACTAAACTTAATCTATTTAAGGTAACTAATGCTGTATGAATAAGCAGATAATTGCTTAGCTTTATAAAAAATTTAAATGGTGCCAAAATGTATTATAAGATAACAACTTGGAAATCCAATGTCACCACAATAATATACATTTTGGAATTTACATGATCTAGATCTAATAATGGCATTCTATATATTGAATGATAACTGGTAAACAATTCCGCTTATATTATTATACAAGACAGAAACCATGAGGACATACCACCCTCCAGTATTAGAATGGGATTGCTAAAAAGAAATAGTCTTGTGAACACTTCGATTGAAATAATTTTGAATTCAATTTGATGGTCGATTTATCACTTAATTTTTTTTTTTTTTTTTTTTTTGTACAAGTGTATTGAGTGAAAAAGTTAACAGTAGTTCAAATTTACCAATTGAGGTATTCACTAAACCAATCTTTTTGAGCTACCTCATTATTTGTGCCGAGAGGGATATGACCTATTACCTAGTATAAGAAGTAGTCACTGTATATTAAGGTTTAAACCTAACTATACACAGATGGCTTATATTTTTTAATTTCAATACAAGTGATTGACAACAAATGTTTGAAATGTCAAAATATGACATTTTATTTATTATTACATTATATTTTTTTTTCTATTTATGCTACATTATAAATAATCTACATTACAATAATCTAAAGGATAACTTAAAAATCACATTTATTAAAAAGTTAGATAGTTAAAACAATGTCCAATATCAACATCAGTATAAAATCTAAAATTATCAATAGAACACATAACAAAAATAAATAAATTTTATGGTTTTAATATTTCATATACTAAAATTAAATTACCAGATCATTAATATAAACAAAGAAACCCAAACAAATCCGTTCAACATTTATCATAATCCATTCCAACAAACAACCTACATTTTTATTACAATAGTCATGGGACAATATTTTAGATTACCCTACCAAATCTCTATAATTACATATATTAGAGATGGAAAAATATAATTTTCTCTTGTCTCCTATTGTAGTTGGCTTGAATATTTTGATCCCATTAAGATTTACCATACCCTGGTAAGTTCTTAATCTCAAATTATTATACACTGACAGGTAAAAAATTCCACCCACTTGATTTTTTCATGTTTTCATCTAAAAATATTTCTGCTTTGGATTAGTCTATTGTTTTTAATGAATAAATAGGTAATCTTTTTGTTTGTTTTCAATTAGGAATGTTAATATAGAGGACAATAACCCTTAATCCTTAATTCAATGAAATGATTCTTGATTCCAATGTTTACTTTCTATGGAACCAAAATGTTTAATCAGTATCATTAGCTCAGTGCCGTTTCTTGCAGCGCATTTCTTAGTCTCCGGCTTTCAATTTTTTCAATATTAAGTTTTAAAATGCCTCTTAGTGCTGGGGATGTTGCGCGTGGTGTGGCACTTATTGATGATGGACGTTCCATTAGATATGCAGCTAATGCCATCGGAGTTCCATATGAAACTTTACGAGACGCCGCCAGACGTTTTCGGGAAACTGGTTCTAACAATAGAAGGCCCGGTTCTGGACGGCCTAGGGTAACAGAACCAGGGATGACCGGTTTTTGACTTTGAGAATTTTACGAAACCGGCACCTTACCGTTGTTCAAGCGATTGAAGAAGTTCGAGGTGAGCAAATTTCTGAACGTACCGCTCGGAGAAGATTAAATGAGTATGGATTAATGGCTTTTCGTCCAGTGAGAGGACCAGAGTTGACCAGAACTCACAGATTAACACGGCTGGCTTTTGCTCGAGAACACAGCCATTGGACTATGGACGAATGGAGTGCTGTACTTTTTACAGATGGGTCAAGATTCGCTCTTCGATCTCCAGACGGGCGTGAAATGGTGTGGAAAAGAAGAAACGAAAGATATGCAGCCTGTAGTTTTCAAGCCATCCGTCTGATAAACTTTACCATCCCGAAAAACTTGATGATTAAAAGTACAACGTTTAAACATAAGGTTATTCATAAATATACTTGGACGTCACCGGATTCGCAAACACGAAATCAAATCGATCATGTCTTGATACAACATAGCAGGCAAAGCAGTATTATTAATGTACGGTCTTATCGCGAAGCAAAATGTGGGTCGGATCATGAATTAGTAATAGCGAAACTTCAACAAAAATTTAATATAAAAAAGAGAAAAAAAACCGTTTAGATTTTGAGAATTTTAGTTTAGAAAAATTAAAAAAATCATCAATAAGCACCCGATTCGAGCTAGATGTCAAGAATAGGTTTGAAGCTTTAGAGCTATCTGACAAGGACCGTGAGGATGTTTACAAGTTATGGATAGAGATCAGGAATAATATTAAAGCGGTCGGTACCTCGTGTCTACGAAAAAAGGAAAATAAGAATAACAAACCCCGTGGTTTGATGGAGATTGCTTAAACATGTGCGGAAAAAGATAAACCGCTAAATTAAAAGCTCTAAATAATCCTAACCAAGACAATCTGGAATACTTCCAAACATCAAAGAACGAAACGACGAAATTGCTCAAAAATAAAAAACGGGAGTATCTTAAAAATAAAACAACTGAAATAGAATCGAAAATAACGTAAAAGACATGTACAAAGGTATAAACAGATCACGTAAATGTTTAGGGCCCGTCAAGTCTGGAATAAGGGATGAAGATATCAATATTTTGACCGATCCTGTTGACATATTAAATAAGTTTAAGAACCACTTTGACAATATTTTAAATACGGGATATTATGTTGTGTCCTCCTTCTGAGTACCAGAGTGCGTAACCGTTGATGGAAGAACCGCGTAAAGAGGAAGTTGAAGTAGCTATCGGAAAAATTAAAATCTTATGAAACAGCGGGAACCGATAATATTCCTACTGTACTAATTAAGCATGTGGGAAAGTTGGAGTTTCTAAAATACATTTGTTGGTTAAAAAGATCTGGAAGAACTAGAAATTACCTGAAAAATAGAAAGAATCTATTCTTATTCCGCTTCAAAAAAGGGCCCGAGGACGGGTTGTAATAACTATCGAGGAATTTCACTCCTTCCAATATGTTATAAAATATTCACTTTAATATTAACTAGTAGAATCACGGAATAGGCCGAGGAAATTATCGGAGACTACCAATGCGGATTTCGACGGAATCGTTCGACTATTGATCAAATATTTTCTTTACGGCAAATATTAGAGG